GGATGTGGGCCCAACACAACTAAGATTCTAAGATTGTAAACGGCGGAAGGCATGTCTGCACTCACCATTTGAGTTGGGTGGCTGTCATGTTTATTAAAAAACTAATGTTTCCGAACTTAATAGACAGTGCAAGATTTAAGAATTTAGCATCAATAAAATCAATAAGTTAAAATCTCATTTATTATAATTTACCGACAGTTCAATCTGTTACATCAAGCATACGTTACGAGTTACGTAAGTGCCACCTGAATTCCCCATCCCGGATCAGTTGTCTTTTACAGGTTTTGTAGTGAGTCCATAACCAAATGGATACAATGGATCATAATGTTTGTCCCCAACATTCATCGGAAGCTGATCGACAGTCTTGAACCATGTACGAGAAAGTTTGCCGGTAAAACCATAGTCTCCAAACAAAACATCAGCAACACCTTGTCCTTCAGTACCCGGAAGCCAAGCGGCTACAAGTGCATCAATTTGAGCAATATAAGGTTGAATCACAATTGGACGACCAGTAATGAGGACGACAACACATTTCACATATGCACAGACATTCGTAATGACAGCTGGGGATGGATCGGGAAGCGTCAAGNCAACACATTTCACATATGCACAGACATTCGTAATGGCAGCTGGGGATGGATCGGGCAGCGTCAAGTTTAGGCTGTCGCCAAATGTCTCAGAGTACGGTGGTTCACCTACTACGACAATGGCGTAAGAGAACTTGTTGGATTTCACATAGGAAGCATCGGGATTTTCATTGAATACGACTTTTGTTTTAGGATCAACAATGTTCTTAATTCCTTCTAGGATAGTTGTACCTGATAATCCGAAAAAAGAAGATTATAAACAGTAGGAGAAAGAAGATTTCAACTTATTTTTATTACCATGTACTATCTAATAGTATCTTATTCTTCCTACCAAGCATGTCATGAGACTTTAACAGATGAAAAGAAGTACCAAAACAAGAATTAGATTGAAGACTTACCAGATGTATGGTTACCACTCTGGCCCTGCCACTGGATTGTCCAGCCACCACATTGGTTACCAATATCGTTTGCATGGCTCCCTGTGACGAGGATCTTTGATGCCTTCTTATGAAGCGGTAGCAATGGCTCGTCCGCAGATTCACCATTCTTGAGTAGGACAAGAGACTTTCTTACTGCTTCCCTTGCTAATTCTCTGTGCTCCTGTCAAGGTTAAGGCACACGTAAGCAAACTAGTCTAGTAAGGTGAATTGTAGAGTACTAAACAGAATTAGAATCTTGTCTATCATGTTGTCCGGTCCTAACTCACCTGACTTCCTAAGTACTTAGTCATGCTATAATCTGCTAGTGGATTCTCAAACAGTCCCATAGTGAACTTGACCCTTAAAATCCTTTTTACTGCATCGTCAATTCGGCTCGTGGGAATGAAATTGTTTTTGACCAGGGAAGTTAGGCCATCAATGAATTCTTTGTATTTGGTTGGAACCATGATCTGCAATGTACAGCACCAAAGTGAATACTTTGTAGCTAATTGACACAAAAAGACACTGTTCAAATCACAAAATCTGATAAATGTACCATGTCAATGCCAGCATTAACTCCAGCTAGAATTGAATAAGTATAGTTTGCATGAGGTGGCGATGTAATTCTGTCAAGACCCTCCCAATCTGAGATGACAAATCCCTGAAATTTTTCACATAAAAAATTTGATCTTTGTTACTCAGTTCACTGTCAGAACACAACTCCAAGTTGAATTTTTCTTGGAAAAATAAGATTTACTCTGAAACGCAGTGTATTCTTTAGAAAACCGGTGATCATGTCACGATTAACGTGCATCTTTATCTCATTCCAGCTCGAGTACGAGACCATGACTGTTGCAACCCCCTTGATGATTGAATTATAATAGCCTGGCATATGGATACTTAGCAGTTCATGCTTGCTTGTCACAGTATTGTTCTCATTGATGCCTTTGGTGGTTCCACCATCACCAACATAGTGTTTGGCACATGCTGCAACCTTTTGTCTGCACAAAATATTAAGTAAAAGCAAATAAACCAACGAGGAGACAAGATTTTATACATGTTATTTTGCCTGAAAATTTTATAAAGGAAGCCCTCTAAAAACTCAAATCATAGATGGCAAAATCCTCGATGAAGATCTTTGTTGATGAAATCCAAAATCTCCCATAGGCCCATAGTTGGTAGATTCAAGATCCCTTTCCGGCGTTAAAGTTTCTGTTTATCTTTATGCTTGAAAAAAAGGAAATTTTATTCAAGAAGCGATCGATTGGTCAACACATAAAGCATGTTTAATAGAAATATTGAATAGCACTCAACTATACCATGTAAAGGAAAAAGAAGTTTGAATTAGTACTATGAACAAACAGTCACTTACTTTCCAGCTACGTACGGAACACCCTTTTGAAAGTTTGGAGGAAAATCTCCTTGTAATCCTGGTATAATCTCAGTCATTGCTTGAACAACCTTCGGATCTTCACTATAGCTTTCGTAACACCGGCCCCATCTCGGATCCCTACACACCTATTTATGAGACGACCATTGTCAATAAACCAAAACATTATCTGATCTGCTAGGATTTTTCTTAGTTAAATAGAAATCAGGATTCGAATTAGACTAATTACCGCTACACAAGGTGCAAAAACATAAGGAATGCCTGTAGCCCTGACTTCAAGAGCAGTTGCAGATCCTATTTTCTTTACCAGTTCAGGGTCCCTAGTAGCTCCAAGACCAACATTGTGGGGAAACAGTGTTGCCTTGTACACATTGCCATGGCCATGAACTGCATCAATCCCATAAATCATCGGTATCCCAAGACGGGTTGATAACGAGCCTTTCTGGAACTCATTCACCATGTCGACCCATATCTCGGGGGATGCCTTCATAGCCGGAACACTACCTCCACCACTCAATACACTCCCTGATCCGTAAACCCCAAAACACTTGAAAAAAACATACATAAACTAAGAATTATCAATTTCAAGACAATGCAGAATAGTATATGTACCTATGTAGTACTTCTTCATGACTTCAGCAGATGCCACAGTTCTATCAATTTGTACCATTTGGCCTATTTTTTCTTCTAAAGTCATCCTGCCCATTAGGTCTTTGATTCTATGATTTATTGGGTGTTTAGGATCTTTGTATGCCATGTACTCAGCATGATCTGCCATGGCTGCCCAACAACATAGTACTAAAATCCCAATCAAGAATGCTGAATCTTTTGCCATTTTTTGCATTGGCGTCAACCTTCACAGCAAAATATTGTTGTCAAGTAAGATCAATAATCAACCTATCGATTAATGGAAAAAAGGATATAACGTGATGAGATTCCACACCGACAAACCAATAATTCCCACAATTAATTATTCCAATAAAACAGCAGTATAGATCTTAAAATAAATACACACACACACACATACACAATGTCACATTTCTCAGAAAATAAATACAAGTTGACACTTGGAAAATGGAAGAGAATTACTGAACTGGGATAAAAGAGAAGAATTACCTCATCTGTAAGAATAATCATATTTTTATCCAAGAAAGGAGTCAAATGCTCATGCAGTTTCCAAAAATAAAAACAAAAGAATAAAGATGAAAAACAGCAATAATCTGGCTGCATTCATTCGAGTAGAGTACATAGTTAAAACACTGTTGTCATAAATAAACACATCAGTTTACTGAAATTTAGTATTCAACAAAAACAAGAAACGTGGACATAAAGCTGTACAACTTACATTGATGAAACTACCCAATAATTCAGCAATTTTTTTTAATCCAAATTGTCACTCATGTGAATTCGTTGAAATCTAGTGGGAAGAAGGTGGTACGTATTTATAGAAATTTTGTTTCTTTTTTTTTTGTCAGTATCTTATTAATTATATTACTTTCGGAGGTGTTTACAATTGAGATTTTAATGAATTTCAAAGAAATTCTTTAAAAGATAGATATTATCAATAACTCACCGATTTATAAAAAATTCATTAATAGAGAGATTTTTAAAATATTTGGATGGATTTCAAGATAAAAAATACATATAATAAATTCTTTTGAAATTTCACCATATTTAACGACATTCTTATGATTTTTGTGGTAATTTATTCAAATTCATTCATTACAATTTATAATTTTTTAAAATTCATCAAAATTTGATTTTTATGGATAATGACGTAGGTACATCGCCACCGTTCCTGCACGTTT